ATCTCTCTCTCTCTCTCTCTCTCTCTCTCTCTCTCTCTCTCTCTCTCTCTCTCTCTCTCTCTCTCTCTCTCTCTCTCTCTCTCTCTGACACACACACATAAGAGAGGTTTAAAGAGGTTATCACAACAAGCAGGTGGAATCTTATTGATTTTGTCATTAGCATCAGTTGGAAGCTGTTCAAGGCAGTGAAAGAGCAGGCAATTAACACTGACGTTGAAGGTAGTTGTCTGAAATCTGAAAACTATATGAAAGGGAAAAATGCATGGATTCAAAACCTAAAAAATAACTGTCTTTTGACCATGATTTTGAATGATATAAATGAACTTTGAGTGCTTTGTTGAGGTGACAATGAAATACCTGTTATAAAAACAACCAGATTCAAGATTGGAAATAAATAAATAAATAAATTATTTGAATATAAAAAGGTTGTGTACTGCCCTATAAAAAATCTATATGTAAAGTGTTGAACCTTGATGTTGATTAATATGTATCTTCATCCTCGTCAGCTGCTGTGATGAATTCTGGACCTCTTGACCTTTTAATTGCCAAGGATGCAAAATGGACTTGAAAAACATTAGAAAATGTCTGAAATATTTCTGGACATGAATCAATTTGTATCCTATCACAGCTGATATGACAGGTTTTGAACGCTTGATCTTTCACAGTTCATACACACGACACAAAGATTGCTAGAAATGTTGAAAAAATGGTAGATGTGAATCCCTTCTGTGATTTTATGACAGTTCTTGTCCATTTGACCTTTTGTACTGCTTCAATACCATTAAAATGTACTATAGAGAGTGTGGAAAGATTTGTAGTAGGTTTACCTGGAGATGATGCTTTGGTCAAATCTAAAACAATTCCATTGTACAACTGTCTCACCTAATACATTGCTCACTGTACAAATGTCACACCCAACACAATTTTAGCCATGTCACTGTCTCACCTAATACAATGCCCAATGTACAACTGTCACACCCAACACAGCATTCATTGTGCAACTGTCACACCCAACACAATTTTGGTTAAGTCACTTCTCACCTAACACACTGTTTTTTTCTCTCCAATTCCAGCCTTTGCCATCACATTACCCTGCAGTGGCAGCATGTCCGTGGAGGTGGACGTCAAAATTCAGATGAATGTCAGCATTTTCTCCGCCTCCAACCTGACCACCATAGAAATCAAGAGGAAGAAGACATGCCTTAAGAGAGGTAAGGAAGGCAGAGAAAAATGGGGAATAAGAATAAAATTCTTCCAAAAATCAATGAGTAGGAGATGGAATGTTTTGAGTTCAGAGTGGATGGCTGAAAAGCAAAGAAGTGAAAAAGTCATGATTATGGAGATGACGAAAAGACTAGTGACAAACTTACTATAATGTGGATGCTGATTATGAGAAAACTTATAGAGAAAATGGTGTAAAAATGCAAATATATTCCTTTATGTGTCCTCCTCTATGTTATGTTCATCTGTCTAATATCTCTCCCTCCATTAATGTCAGATCAAGTACACATTGATTTTTTTCTATACAGTCTCAATTACCTTCTGACTTTGAGACCAAGCACCTGTTCCACACAAATGGAACTTCCCCGTGTATTTTGCCCATCACTCCACACATAATTTTAACACTGTGCCTGGTGAGCCAGTGGAGAATGCTGTGGTGTTCTTGTATTTCAAAGAAATCACATTTTGTTTATAAACCTTGTTATCACGGGTGATGGAGACAAGGCTAAACTAGTGAGGGGATTCCGTGGCCTCAGTAAAATGCCTTGTAGCAATGTTTTCTACTGTAACAGATGGGTTATGTCATTGTGGAGAAAATGAATTGGGTGTTTTAACAGCAGAATTTTATTCTTGCATTTGATGAAATTTATGGTAGTTGTTTAGTAAAGGATGGAAAGAAAGGAGGAGGGGCAACATGTGGAAGTTGCAATAATAGAATTGTTCTACGCTGTATGCAAAAGTTCATTTTAACCCATTTGGAAATGTTAAAGAATTGCTCATTGAAAATTTGTTGTTGATTTAGCTCATAAAGTATAGTTAACTAAAATCGATGGTTATTGGACTTTTTCATTAAACAAACGTGATTATATCTGTCCACACTTCTTCTGTTGTATCAAACCTTGCATGGCTGTATTTATGTTAGATCCATAAAAAGTCTTTGATTCAGGACTTTAGCAAATGTGAAGCTGGTTAATATTGCGTGTGGCTTTCCGATGGGTCTGATGTCAAGTATGTTTGTTTGTGTGTTGATTGAAATGCAGCACACATAAGATCAATTTATATACAGCTTTAATTATTTATTAATTCCTTTCGGCTCAGGTACCTTTTCAATGACTTTGAACCTAACAAATACCACACACATACTCACATACACACAGAGAGAGAGAGAGAGAGAGAGATTGAGTATTATGGTTATAATAAGTTTAAAAATAGTGCAAATTTTTTTCTCCAACCTCAGTTCAAACAGACATCCCTTATTCAGAGTAATAGAAAGTTTAACCTTGCTGTGTGTATTTATCTACCTGAATACATGGTTTAGATTCAGTCTCTTAGAAGTCCTGTATACTTCTGTATATTTCAGATCACCTGGTACTGGACCCTGGCGGTGGGGACAGAGGTCGCTCACCTGAACACCATGCCAATTATACCATTCTTCATTCAGGTATGTTACTATATATATATATATATATATATATATATATATATATATATATATATATATATATATATATATATGCTTTCTGGAGATTAGCCAGATGTTGGAATAGAGAGTCCATATTAATTTTTCTCTTGCTGAGGCAGGCCATCTAGAGACCAAGCATTCCAGTGATGAAATTCAGAAGAATGGCTGGCCAAAAATGGAAGAGACAGTCCAATAACCTCTCTATCTCTCTCTCTCTCTCTCTCTCTCTCTCTCTCTCACTGACTGACAGACAGACAGACAGACAATTTCAGCATTGAAAATTTAAATTACCCAATCCACACAAGTGGCCGAGTGGACATTTTATCTTATTTGTAAAAATTTCAGTGTTTGTGCAAGAGGGCCTGATCCTTTTATATTTATGCTAAATTATAATCTAAGCTGTATACCTTATAAAAGTATATAATTATACTAAGATTTGTATTAGTTAATAGTGCACCTTTGATGTCATGTTTTACACTCTGCATATGTATTTTACAGACACTGGAAAGAAGAGTGTTCCTCCAGCTTCCACCAATGTGTTCTATATTGCTGTAGGAGTGGCCTGTACAGTTATACTTATTATTGCCTTAGTGGTGGCGGTGGTCTACTTACGGACACAGAAGTCAGCCAATCACACAGCCATGAGGTAGGTGATCTGTGTTCCTATTTGTTTGGAATTGTGTGTACATACAGACTCAGTAGTCAGCCAACCACACTGTATGAAGTAGGTTTTTTTTTTTTTTTTTTTGTCTGGAATTGTGTGTAAGTTAGTAGTTCGGAATCCCGTTTCAGCCATAGGTAGGTGATATTTAACATGATCATATTTTACAACACAAATAAAAAATGATAACAGGTTTGAAAACTTTGAGACACCATCACTTCTGTTACAGTATTAAGGAGCATTTCTAACTACACATGGTATAGCTTCTGTTGCTTTGTAGTAATACTCATCGGTTGTACATTTTCTTCTCTAGTGACGCCAGCAGCTTCCAGACCCTGTCTCAACATGGCGGCAATAACACCTACCTCCGCCCCGACACCCCCAATAATGCCAGCGTGGCAAGTCTTCCAAACATGCGCCGCGGTCTTTCCCCGGTGAATGAGGTCAAGCCACCAGATGTCTATAGTGTGCTGTCAGAGATTGCGTTGGAGAGAAACCGTATTACACTTGGAGAAATAGTGATGGAGGGTAAGGCCATGTGATTTGTTACAAAAATAGCTGGATTTTAAGACTCATGAATACATTTTAAATAATTTGAGTTTTTTATGTAAGTTTAAAAACTTTAGATTTTAAGAAGTGAATTTCTTTTTCACCAATAAATAAATGACAGTGTCTTGTATTAAATGATACAATTTCATGTAATCTTCTGTAGGAACATTTGGTAAAATATACAACGGCTACTTGCTAGGAGAAGATGAGACAGAGAAAACTTTGGAACAAAAAGTTTACATAAAAACAGTGACAGGTAGGTTGCATATAAGTGAATGGTACTAATCATCATTTTGTAATCCTTAAGTTACCTTCTATATGCTGACAACATTGCATTTGGTGACACCTCACAATCCTGTCTTCTTTCTTTTATCATAACACTCTGTCCTGCCAGTTCAGGCCCTCTGTACAACACTATCAGACTATCGAGACCTTCAGGTTAACAGGTCTTAATCACTGATACCTAATTTCAGACCAAGCTCGGCAGGACCAGATCCAGACCATGTTAAAGGAGAGCTGCCTGCTGAAAGGGTTGTGTCACCAGAATATTAACCCCATCCTGGGGGCGTGTCTGGACCCCTCCTGTCAGCCACTGCTGGTGTTTGCACAGCTGGATGAGGGAAACATGAAAAAGTTCTTACACAGGTGTAAGGTAGGGGTGTGTGCTTGCGCGTGCATATGTTGTTTATGTGTATGTGCATTTACATATATACTTGGGTGTGTTTGTGTGTTATTGTGCATGCAAATGTAAGAGGGATGAACTTTCATAGTTTGACTGACAAAAGTCGGCCTCTCTCTCTCTCTCTCTCTCTCTCTCTCTCTCTCTCTCACACACACACACACACAAGAACACGGCTAAAAAAATGAATATTTAGCCACTGTGCATGAAACTCTGTATTTATGTACATTTTATAGCATGTCCATATTAATGCTATTTCCATTCCTATCTCAGGCCCTGAGCACCCAGCAGCTGGTCTACATTGCCATACAGATCATACGTGGAGTCCAGTATTTACACAGAAAAAGAATCATTCACAAAGACATAGCAGCCAGGAACTGTATGTGAGTACACTCTTTGTGGTCTTCAAGGGGACTCCATTTCACAAAGTGATTTTAGTGGAAAAAAAGTTCTTCACAAAGACTTTCAGTAATTTGTCTAAGTTCTGTTTCACAAAGATTGCTAACATAATCCCCTTCTTTATTTTGTCATGTGAGCTTTTCTTCCAACTGTGATTCTCAGTTTCATTGAGGACAGTAGCCCATTGATGTTTGTCAACCAGAGTGAATGTTTCATACTCGACCTTTTGCTTGGTTATAGAGAACAATGATCTTAAATAATTTTAATTTGGTATTATTAGTAATAAATGTCCATTTTTTTCTCCCAGAATCGACCATAATCTTGGTATCAGGCTCACGGACATGGCGTTGAGTCGAGACATTTTCCCCAATGACTACCACTGCCTAGGAGACAATGAGAACCGACCAATCAAATGGCTGGCTATTGAAGCTCTCGTTGATCGAAAGTTTTCGCAAGCCAGTGATGTGGTAAGTTGTCATCTAAAAGTATAGATATTAAATTAATAATTTGAACAGACTGAATAAAATGTACTCAGAACATGTGTTGGAAAAAATTTACTTTGTGTATTGATGAAAGACTTTGGAAGTTCTTCATTTTTTACCACCCGGCATGCTTCTGATTGCCTTTTCAATGATGACACTCTTGTTACAATCAAAATTTATAACAAGAAAGTTAAAAGGAAAATTATTCTCAGGATCTTTCTCAACTTAAGAATTTGAATATTAAGTTCTGTTTGCTTGTTTGTCTAGTTTTAAGTTTTTTTAGATTTCCTTTTTTTTCTTATTAAATGATTATTTCCTCAACTTTTAGAGTCAAATAAGAGGCTTTTGGGTTTTTGTAACATGCTAATATAAATCAATATAAATGCTGTCAGTATCATTCTGATTTATGTAAGTAAATTTCATTTGAGAAGTTTGCTAAAACATCTTATTAATGTTCTTCTTGTAGTGGTCATTTGGGGTAACACTCTGGGAACTGATGACCCTTGGTCAGACGCCGTACGCTGACGTGGACCCGTTTGAGATGGCGGCCTATCTCAGGGAGGGGTACAGGATATCGCAGCCAGTCAACTGTCCTGATGAGCTGTACGTGGTAGAACATAATGCACAATGAGATTAACATTTCCTGGTTGATATATTGTACAGGAAGAATTGATTGGAGATTTGTTTTTAGTAATACACCTATGCTGTCTTAAGCATCTTCAAATGAACATCATTCTTATGGAATAATACAATATAAAATATGAAATATTTCATGTTATATATATTTTTTTATGAAACTACAGTCCAATTTTACATTAAATGGTTTGTTCACACTTGCTAAAAATTATTTCATTTTCTGTGTCAGTATTTTAACCCAAGTACTGTATTCAAGGTTGAACACAATATGCAAATTTTGTTTTATGATAATTATTATTGTTAATTTATAAAAAGATGAATGACTTTCAACATGTCTTTCTCCAGGTTTGCAGTAATGGCGTGTTGCTGGGCACTGTCTGCTGACGAGAGACCCAAGTTTGCTCAACTCCTGGTGTGTTTGCAGGACTTCTATGCAGCACTGGGGAGGTTCATTTGAAATATGTGGAAAGAAAAAGAAAGAAAGGAAGCAGGTTGTAGCATTTGAAAGTCTCCAGCCATTTCCACCTTGACAGCATTTATGAAGTCTAGAAGAGAGGAAAAAGTGAAGTCCATCCAGTTCAACCAGAGTTATTAATCTGAAATCTTTGATGAAAAAAGGAAGAAAAGAAAGAGAAGTAGATTGCGGTTACTGTAGACTTTAAAGCAGGATTTTGGAAGATGCTACACACAGCAGCATTTATTAGAATTGCCACGCGAAGGATATCGGAGACAGTCACCGGTTTCAGAGAGCTGTCATTTTAACTGACAGTTTCTAATGGAAGTGTATTGAAAGTGGGATAAAACCACATCCTGCAGTCAGGGTTGTAGGTCAGCATTACAGAGAAAATATCAAGAAAAATTTATATCATTCATTGGTGGGGTGGGGGGGAGATTTTGACAGCTATTAATTTAAAAGGTTTTATTCAGGGTCCATTTGAGACAGTAATGATATTTATTTAACTAGTAGTTAAGGATTAACTTTTCTCCATCCAGTAACCAACAAGGATACCCTGGCTGTTGCTGAATGCTGAGGATGGAGTGTAATTATGGCAGACAAGACAATGCGTTTGTATTAATACAACAGAAGCTTCAAAGATGCAATGCACAATATCATTCAAAAATACAACCATTCATCAGTGTGAGGTCAGGGGCAGAACTGAAGATGTGAATAGATTTGATAGCTTTGTTAAACAGTTATACTGGCAGTTAGCATGGAAAACGGGAGATGACAATCAAAGTTTCATGAGACAGCGATGTTTTTTTTTTTTTTTTATGAAAGAACAGTCTGATAAAAAGTCAATAAGTAAACCAGTATATCGCGAACAAAGGAGAAAAGACTCAAAAAGGGGCACAGGATTTAGAAAAGAAATGGTATCATAAAGGTTTATGGCATCAACCCAAAACCTAGTCAATGAGGTCATAATATTGTAGATGGAGTCCAGGTGATAAAAAGGTCATTAAGGTCAGAGGTCATATCCAGGGGTCATTGAGGTCAGAGGTCACCTGTGCTGCAAGTTCTCCACAGAATCAAAAGATCAAAATGAATTTTTTTTTTAAATCACAGAACAACTCATCTAGTCCACATCCATTTTAAATAATTTTTGCTAAATTTTTCTTTTGGTGGATTTTGTAATTCTATATTTAGACTCTAGTCATGCTTGAATTTGGACAGAGTCCAGAGCATTTTTTTTTTTTTTGTCTTTTTTCCCCCCTTCAAAAATTTGTACATTATTTTAGTGGCTGAATCTGGGTAAATTTGTCACCTTAGAACATCCAGTTTGCTCATTTTGATCCAAGCTTAATTGCCAAGATGTTTTTTTTTTTTTTTTTTTTTTTACAAAGTGATAAGTAGTCACTCAGAATATGTCACGGGTGTTAGGTGGGGTTCATTCTATTATCTCATGTTAAATAAGAAGTAGACGGCTCATAATAATCAATCCTGTCAACTTTAAAGTCTTAGCATATGTATTAAATCAGTTACTGATGAGTTGATTAAAATAAGATCATGATTTAAATGTTTAGAATTTCATGTACAGAAGAAACTTTTCAGTACAGTGAATTTATCTAGTCACTTTTCTAATAGATCCTTCTGAATTTTGAAAGGCAGATCATTTTCCTTGTAAGAGGGTGATTTTAAAGTTATTTAAGCTCTTGTGTAAAGTTTTTTTAACGAAACCAGAGGTGCTAAATATTTGTACTTGTATGTATGTATGTACATATATAAATATAATTGTATATAATATTGTTATTGTATTGTACATGGTTTCACTTGTTTTGTATAGAATACATGTGTGAGGTATGCTATAAGTTAAGTAGGGTTTGCTTTTTAAAAGTATTAAGGATGTATCCACAGTTAGTGACCATATTTCTGGACTTTTTATAAGTCTTATTTTTTTCTCTTGCTCAGCAATAAAGTTTTAGTAGTACAAGTGTTTTAAATGTTCGGCCTATATAGATAAGATTTTTTTTCTTATAGCCTTTATTCCAATACAAATTTTGTTTAAAGATCTTATTTTGTCTTTTGTACCACTGCAATAGAAGCAAGTGAGAGTTTTACAATAAAACACTACAATATAATCTAACCAGCAATTGTTTTCATTGAAGACTAGAAAAGTACTCATAGAGCACACAACCACTCCAAGACAGCTCCATTTCTTGTTATTATTAATTTAACTTATTAAATCAATAAAAATGTTTCATTTGTCCAAGAGATCATTGAGCCCCTTGGTCATAAGCTGTTTAGGGCTAATTTCCAATGAAAATATGGGTCTACTGAGATTGATCCGACTACGCGAGGACCCTTACAGAATGCAAGCAGTTTAACAGATTAACACACTTCATTTCCAAAAAAAAAATATAAATTAAAATCACGTTTTGCAGACCCTAGTAGGGTGACACCCACCAACGCCACTTTTTTGACATCACCATTCAGAGGTTTGCCATACAACACAACCAAAGTCAATATAAACGAAATAACAACAACTAAGACAACAAAAATATTTTATGTAAATATGTCATTTTATTCCCGTTCAGGGTAGCTTGGCTACCTCCCTACTAATTCACCACAACTAAATGACGTCAACCGTCCCGTGTCCTTGTGCAACATTCCATGTGCCGTGCCCCATGGCCGCATGAGCTGCGCCGTAGAAAACAAGCATTATCCAATTAGCATATTAACCTTCACTAAATTAATAAAGCATATATTTGTCCATAAAAAAGAAGATAACCAAGTTATATTAAGTCCATACTCTAATTATCTTGTATTGTGTCTTGAAACAGCTAATTCGCTATAATGACATTAATAATAATAATAATACTGTATCTGAAGCCCAAGTTGTTTCACTGGCTTCATATTGCATGGGAGGATGATAAAGTATCTATTCCAGCTGCCTAAATAGGGAGGGGAGGCGAGTAACTATCCCCCTTTTACCCAGTCTACAAATCCAGCTGTTATTAAAATTCCAGGACTTGAAAAATTTTGCGGACTATTTTCTTAATTTTCTTAGTCAAACTAAGTCCAGATTTTATGCTTTTAAAAGAAGCATGTAATAAACAGGATCTTTCAGACTAATATTCTGTTAAAGGTTTTTCTATACAAAAGCTAATAAAGCTTGAACATCTTTTCAGTTTGGGAACTTGAACATAAAGCTCCTCAGGGAGTCGAGGCTACAAGAGGATTACACTGTGTGTGTGTGTACAACAAATTCTATTCAAAGACTACAACATGATGGGAAAAACATAATATTTGACAAGGGAAATGGTGCTTTTAAATGCATCTTTTCTAATGTAAGAAAGGTTTCTACACACTGTACAGCAAAAATTGGTCTTTCATAACCTAGTAACCAACAAAGATTACGATAAATGAACATATCAACAGAAATACAATTACTCAGCATGTATTTATACACGTACAATTGCATCCTTAGATAGGTCATTGAATTTCTATCACCGAGTTAGTATCTAAACATCTTCATAAATCTACCTGGCTCACAAATCTTTTTATTTTCATTTTTTTTGCTTTAGAGTTTTATCAAAGAAATAGCTTTAATATGCACTGAGTAAAATCTTACAGCTCAGCAGGGCATTAATCCACCTGACAGATCAAAAATGAAAGCTGGCAAATTTGACAGAAGCTCTGAAACAAGCACAAAAGATCAGCCAGGTGAAATCTATAGGTGATTGTTCTACAGCAGACAAGTCAGATCTTAAAAGACTCGGACAAACTCGCATTTATTCATTTATGATAATCTTTGGAGATATTCCAATTTTATATAACTTACAGCAAAATAAACCTACATGTTACACTTCAAACTACTTCATATTTCATATAACTTACAGAACAGGATCAGTATCTAAGTGTTCCATGAACATTAACAACACAACACAAACAACTGTCTATAATATTGCACACTGTAGCAGAAGTGAACTTTCCAATTGCATGGCACAAAAAATCGAAATCTCTTTCTCCAGAATTAAAGGCATCTTGTATAAAAAATGTAACATTAGAGGGTGGGGAGAGAGGGATTTTGTCAGACTTGAGCAACACCTTTTCCCAGTTTTCTTAAAAATCTATTTGGCTCATGGTTGTTTTCAGAGAAAGGATACAATATAGAAGACACAATTTAATAGCAAACTGAATGGCAAAATCTTTATTGCTATACTCTCATTTTTTTTCTTATCCGCGGAAACCCTTAATGTTGCTGTAATCTAATACAGCAAAGCATCAATATGTCTTATTGGCATCTCTAAGCAACGCAGTCTATATATGTATACAACTATAACAACAGAATTGATTAGAACTCTTGAGCGATGCAGTCCACATGTTATACATGACAACAAAACCCTTGATTAGAATCCCAAGCAATGCAATATACTACATTTATAATAGCAACAAAGCAATTTATATTTGTATATATGTGAACACGTATAAAAGGGATAAATTACTGGACAGGTACCTTTATAAGAATGCTCAAATATGAAAAAAAAATTAAAAAAAAAACGGGATTCAAGATACCTGTACATTAAGTACTGGCATGTCATTTATGGCAGAATTTCAGTTTATAACTCTAGCGTATTAGTTTATGACGGTTATCAAAACATACGTTCCCCTAACATAAGAAAAAAATGCATAACATATGTACAATAATGTAGAGATTGAGGCCTATGTATGAAATAAAGTTTCCATAGAGATGCTGGGAGACTGTCCAATGCAGTAAGCTCAGCGAACTCACTTGGTTTTCTCCTCTAACAAATGGCATTGTCTTCTCTAGCGCAATGGCAAACATTTTGATATTGTCTTCTCTAGCGCAATGATGTACATTGTTCATATTGGCAATCGTGAGCTTTATCTCATCACAAGTTAAGTGTTGGCAATGTCAAATGCAGCAGTCAATGTCCTCATGCATGTACAGATAGTTGTGGTTTTCAGCTTGATCCAACGTCATTTACTCTTCACTGGAAAAAAAGACCAAATTTAACCTTTCAATAGTAAGTAACCCAGAAAATACCTGACAAAATTGAAATTTTCAACAGAAAGAAGCCCAGAAAATTGATGGCCAAATTAAAACCTTCAACGGAAAGTAGCTGAGAACATTTATGAGAAAATTGAAACTTTCAATAGAAAGTAGCCCTTCAAATTAACAAAAGTTACTATTTGCAAACATTATTTAAAAAAAAAAAAAACACAAATATTACAACCCAATTTTAACTTTCAAGAAAAAAGGGCAGACAACCAAAGTTAACTTTTCAACAGAAGTTACCACATCAAATGACATCAGAATTTCAAATTTCAAAAGAAAGCAGGAAATTGAAGACCAAGTTAAATCTTTTAACAGAAAGCAGCATATTAAATTATGATCAAATGTCATTGACTTAAATCTGCTTCAAGTTACCTTTGACCTGATTTAATGTACCATAAAATACTTGCTACGGAGCAACGTCTAAGATGAAAGTTTCTCAAAAACATTTTCCATGCAAATATGGAGCCTTTACATCGCTTATATTTAAAACCATGTGCTATGGCTGCCATAAAAATTCTTCAAGGGGTGTATATAATGTTTATTATTTTTCTCAATTTTGCTGAACAGCAACCCTTTTCCCTAAGAACTTTAGAGTGAAATCTTTGGAAACCTAGACCAAACATAAAGAAACAGCAGTCCAATTCAGTGAATTATATTTAGTTATATCAAAGAGAAACTGCTTCTCCATTAAATGTAGTACTGCACATTAATTCTCGTGTGACGTAAATTTAAATGTTGGTCTAAAAGATTTGAAGTAAACTAAATTGCTGGTACAAATGATTTAAAATCGAATAAAATTTTGGTGTAAAAGATATATATAGAGTAGACTAAACTGTTGGTCTGAAAGATATGAAGTTGACTAAAATGGTGGTCTAAAAACTATGGCTTTACCAAATTTAACTCTATAGTTCTTATGAGAAGTTGGTCTTGGTCTGGGTTAGCTTAAAATGCTGGTGATAGGTGTCAAAAAATTAAAAGCCAGGGTAGAAACTAGGATGGGTAGTGAAAAAGTAAGGCATTTCGTAAAATTTGTCTTCATGCAATTATAATAACAATTACTCCACATGCAGCAGTTATCAAATTAGGTGGTTTAATAAAGAAGATTTGGGAAATTTCAGTGCAATTACATTATACAATGACAAATAAAAAAGAGTGCGTCTGCACAAATAAAATCACAAATGAACATAAACAGAAATCAAAATGACAGCATCTAAACAAACAAACAAATGTGCAAAAACAAAATCAGTCAGCATACCATGTACACAAATTGAGCCAAGCATGCAATACACACTGTACATGCTCTATTTCCGGACATGCTTTCTACTAGCCTTGGGGACAGCTCCTTTGCTCTTGTCCACGGGCTTGGGCTGTGCCTGGGCCGGACCAGACTGCAGCGTGGAGTCTATCCTTTCCTGGATCTTCTGAAAACTGTCCTCGCCCAGGTAGTCCACCTGTCCGCGCTCCCACCTCTCGCGGCGCTCGTGTTCGGGCACTGCTTCCATGGGTTGTTGTGGGGAGGCGTCTAGTTTCAGGCTGGCTAGTTCTCCTGCAAGGCCACTCTGAAATAAACAGACATAGATGATGTCTTAACAATACATCCATACAATAAACCTTTTCAAATACATGCAATTTTACACAATTACCACTGAAGAACATTAAGAATCAATTAGCTGCCATCTTCAAACCTCAACTGGGCCAATTCTCTAGCCCAAACCACTTGGAATATAAACATAAAACAACATAATGAATATTCATATACAATCAATGCAATAATGATAAATCATTAATATTATTTTCTCATGCATTTTAAATATACCAATCCACATGCTTCAGAACCCCTTGTCAGCCAGCACCTCTGTGGCCCCATTGTTACAAGTACATCCTGATAGTTATATATTATTTATGATATTTACCACAGACATCCTGAAAACAATAACGTAGATGTTCTGAAAAACAAAATCCTGAAATTGCTTTCTCTCTTTAGAAGTCAGATCCAATATTCTGCTTTTGTCTTAGAACAGCAAAAAAGAAATATATGCCACACTCACCAATGTCTGAATAGCAAGCCCATCAACTGTTGTTATACTAATGTTATACTATATGTTACTGTAATGCCTCTCCCAAGATGAGTGCCAACAACCTACTAGGGATTAAATGACAATCTCTAGACTATAAACAAGACCTTTGCGTCACTCAACCTCACTGGGAGAGTCAGCATCATTTACGGCTGGCAGACGTCACATGCTAAATGTCATTATTTGTCAACATGATGTGATACATGTCTGTATTACCACACTGGGACAATTAACACATTACTAGACTTGGAATTCAGCAATTAACGTTACGATCCTGACATAAAACTGCTTACCAAGAATGGAATAAGCCAAAACTCATCATCTTGTAGAATTGTGTTATGCCTTGATTAATCACTTGTGAAAATGTAATTTTTTATTAATTTTTATCATTATCAGGTGAGCAGCAAAGAGGGTGTGAAATATTTTAACTTGGGTACAAATCAATGTCAGTTTTTAAAATTTATTATTTTAGGGACACCGGACTTGCCGAAAAAAAACAGCACACACACACACACACACACACACACACAAAATAAAAATAAACATCCATTTTTTTTCTTTCTTTTACATTTTCCAGCATTTTCTGGTAGATTACACCCCTCTTAATGTTACCTAAACCAGTCACCATATGGAAACCCTTGGAGAGCACATATTTGTTTTCAGTGAGGAAAATTCCAAGAAGGACAAACAGGCTTCAGTACACACGCCTCGCACATGGCAAACATGCATTTATCAGGAACAAAACCAGCAAACCACAGCCTCCACTTAACCCTTGGTAATATATTCAATGAGGGGGCATCCAGTGCTTGACTGGCTTGTAAATTCATGATCGCCATTGTGCAGTACCATTTGTGTACATAAAAAAGATGTGTATTCATTAGGGAAAGGTCATTCACCTCATGCTGTTTACAAAAGGATGCCCTCTGGCTCTGTCTCTCTCACCTTTCCCATTCCTCTCTCTTTCTCAAGTTTGTTTAAGTGGAGTACCATTAATGTATATGAAAGACAGACGTGTACTCATTAGGTTAAGGTCATTAACCTTACGCTTTATAAAAAAAAAGAAAAAAAAAACTCTCTCAAGTTTGTGCAAGCCTGGTAGTGCCATGCTGCCTTCAAACCAGTCTTAATTACAACAGTACCATAACAAGTTGTGTAACTAAATAATATATACATAGTTTACAGACCAATCAACCTGACCAATGACAGCGTCCTAATGACACTTAGTCTGGCGTTACCAGTGCAACCTAAGCTTGAACTCATCCAAGTATTTTTTTCTGAAAAAAATTGACCTTTTTTTTTTCAGTAGACACAGCTTAAAAAATGGTACTGAACGAAAACTTCATAACAAGTTAGGGGAGACCTCTTCTGCATCCAAAAAGGAGGTTCTTTTGGCCCCCCTTCCCCTGCTTAAAGAGCTGTCTGAAGACACTATAAATATACATTATTAAGTGATCAGATAACTTAATCCACCATATCATGGCTATCATCTGCCTGCCTGGTGATAAACACATGATCTCCATGTAGCTGCTTACTTTCTATACTATAACATGCCAAGTGCAGCTAACTAGATCAAGGACAAGTTTACACGTCTGATGCCATGATATCTATCTCATATATCATGGGGGGGGGGTGAGGGATGAAGGGGGTGAGGGGGGTGAGGGGTAGAAGGTGTGGTGATGAAAGGATCAGGGCAACCCCATTGTACTTTTAGTTATTTTGATATGTCATATATCAAAAATTATCTAAAATTAAAATTTATTTTAAAAAACTTGTTTCTGATGGGGGGGGGGGGGGGTGCTTATCTTCAAGACATTTTATTACAGATGAAACGAGTATAATGTTTATATGTGTGTTAAGACAAGAACCACTTTGGACCAGAGAGCATGCCAAACTCTGCCACATATCTCCAAAGTTGAAAGCTTGATCACTGCCTATGCAGAAAAACAGGAAAATAAATTTTCAATTTAAAGCTTTGAGAACTGAAAAAAAAAGACACTTTGGAAAATTATATTCATCTGAATATCTGATCCCAGGGTCACCTTGACTAGCTCTAGAACTCTGTGGTTATTCAGTCCGACTCAATGCTCATTATTCTCGCATAAAAACATGCACCTTTTTAACAATCAAGCATCAAACAATGGTACCAAGGAAGCCAAAGTTCTCAGTCCTTTGCCTCACAACTTATGTATTTATTTCTGACACAATTATGGTTAGTTTAAATTTACATGTCTGAATGGGTAGCTACCCATAAGATTTATTATTCAAAATCAGTTTGGAAATCAAACACTCAAGGTGCAATACAATGCTTCAGTAACAAAATTAAAAATAGCATTTGTTAGAAAATTTTTGTTTTACTTGCATATTGGCTGAAACACGAATGACATATATACAATCTATACTTTCCTGTAAATGAATAAATAAACAAAAAATAGAAAAATATTGGTCCTGTGGAACATGTCTTCTCTACCTACGCAATGATATAACGACATCTGTTTTAAACCATAACTCAGACATGCCATTTTAACCCTAAAGACAAAAACCACATCTATCCGGATCTGCTCTCCATACATTTCAGTACAAATCACACTCAGCCACCAGATATTAAAAGGTCATTTTTCTTAGAGGTGACTTTCAAATATCACCACATTTCACAATGACAGCAATATGACTATAGAAAAAAAAGGTGTAAGTTCATACAAAGTTTAACAGTGCCAGGTACTTTGACAATTTTCCTTTAACACAACAACCTAGTTCTCCTGTTACATAATTAAGGGATACATAAAACGGATATTGCTGCTGTTTATTACTGTATACACATTTCCGCACAAGAGACAGATGCTTCTACCATTGTAAAATCACTCAGCCTCACTAAAATGGACTATACTCACATTTTCAATAAGAAGTGACATAGACAGTGTTGTCACTAATGTTGTAAACCTATCTAAATTCTGAATCACTAATGTCTCAGAGGTAATTAGTTCTCCCAAAGTCAGACTTTAACTCAGTAATTATGAGGTAACATTATCAGGCATGGTATAATCGTCATAGCAACAGGTGGTAAGTTCAACCGGTGACATTTATCACGTAATATGATGACGGTGATCAATGTCTCATATCAACAGGTCTGTCACATTATTCCGAGGACATCAGTTTCAAGAGCACCAAAGACAAGTTATCTTTTCTCCCACAGTGATTTTCATCGTGAAGAGCCACATTTTCAACGACACAACAAATGCTCAAAGGACAATCCCTTTTTATGAGCTAGCCACATAATATATATATATATATATACCAAAATATATACGCCATACAAACAAGTTTGCTGTCTGACACACAGAGAGAGAGAGAGAGAGAGAGAGAGAGAGAGAGAGAGAGAGAGAGAGAGAGAGAGAGAGAGA